ATTCCCTGCCGTTCCTTTCTCTGCAAATTTAATGCATCCCTTCTGTGAACGAAGTCCAGTAAAATACGCTCCTAATTAGTGGCGACCCTGTGCCCGTTTCAATTTTATTTTTTATTTCACTTTTGCTGCACACAAAGGCCAAACAAAACGAGAAATTTAATTATTTATGAAAACATGAAAAGCAGCCGCTTTGCATCCGAACATTTTTCATTAGAAGCGAGAGTTACCCCGGCAAAAAGGGAGAAAAAAAAGAAATGAAACACAGTACAATATAATTGCAAAGCTAAACCCAAACAGCAACCAACTTTGACCGACTACTGCCTGACCGCTATTGTGGCCTTGAAGCGACTGCGAAAAAGGCAAAAAGGGGTGGTGGGCCGTGGAAAACCGGGGCTAAACTCACATGTAATTTGTTTTTACCCCGAGAGTTTCCAGTTCCGAGTTCCGAGTTCCATTTTCAGCATGCAAGGCAAAGAGCAAACAGCAGTACGTATATTATATGGCCGCGATATATTAAACTCATACACGCGAGAGGGCCAAGAGCAGCCAAAATGGCCTAAAGAAGAGTTCACGCGAAAGGGGAGGGGCTGGTAAAAGTCAAAGTGAAAGTACGAGTATCACGGAAACCCCGAATAAAATGTCGGTCACATTATGGTAATTTACATTTGATATGTGGCCCTGCAAATGGATCCCGGTTCCGCATTTGGATAACGGTGTGCTACATATGTCTAATGCTTAAATTTGATTGATGTTATAAACGGATTTATGGAGTTACCACATTGTTTTGGGTATATTTGGATAGCGAAAATACTGTCTAACATTAGTCAAAGACTTTGTAAGTATCAGAACAATTTGAAAATTTTAATATTTCATTATATAAATGAAAATGATCCAAAATTATCTACAAGAATCCAAAATGTAGTTGATGCGCTGATAAAAAATTGGAATGGTAAAAATAAATGTCTTGAACGTTAAAATTTTATATAAACCAAATTATTAAATGCAATACAAATTAAATTTTAATTAATGTGAAAAGTATATCTTAAAAATTAGGTCCTTTATTTAAGTTTCCCTTACTTAAAGTTCAATATTCTTATATCTAAAATTAAATGTACACAATTCAAGGCAAAAATATTTAAATTAAAAATCAAATACTTTGGTTTGTAAACATATTATTTCCCAGTATTGGTTTTTAAGGCTAACCTTTTGTGTTATCTTTTTTTATGAGCACCTAGAGAATGGATTTAGAACCAAACTTAAAAGTACCATTATCATTCATAAAAAATTGCATAATAACTTAGAAATCCATTGAATCGCTTGTCCACTTGTGATAAAATCCCTACTTTACAACTCAAAACCATTGCAAAAGCATGGTTGGAAAAAAGCAGTGTTGGCTCAACTATTTACATTAAAATATCATGTTATATTGTGTTCTCAAACAAGCCGAGGCTAAATGCCAATAAAACAAGCTTTTTAAAAGTTTTTCTGTTTTTCCATTCTTTTTCCCTTATTTTATTTCATTTTTTCGCAGGCATCTGTATCCCTTTCCAACATGTGCGGCTATCCTTCACAGGTCTCATGTATCTATGCATGCAAAATGCCCATTTTGGTTGTTGGCTTAATGTTTTTTTTTTTTCACTGCCTCGTTGTATTTTTTTTTTTTTTTTTTTTTTTGTAGGGGCCACGCTTAGCCTTCAACTCTGGCCGCTGTTGGTTATTGATTTTTTTCGGCTTCCTAGTAGTTTCGTTACAAGGTTTTTAATATTTAAACGCTTGCTGCTGTTCCGCTCACTCCGCCAGTGTCTATCTCTGTTGCGCAAACACAATTCGGAAATGACCCAAAAATGCTTAAATCTCAATAAAAGGGCATTTTGACTTGAACTGTCAGTCGGTGAGTGAGGCGAAGGGCTTTTCTGGGTCGATGTGTCGGGTCGTCGGGTTTTGAGTCGAATGAGGATGGAATTGGTCGGGTAACAAGGGGATAATATGGGGTAGGGTAGGGTAGGGTAGGGTAGGGTAGAATGGGGTGTTTTGCTATGGGGTCCGGCTTGTTGTTTTTAGACGTCGACGTTTTCTATGCCAAGCACTAACACAGTGGCACACTAGCAGCCTGTTGTTCGCTCGGCAAAGTGAAATTGTGTTAAAAATCGCATTCCTTTCTGTACTTGTGTGCAGCGGAAATTGAAAATAGCGTCGCGTTGTGCGCCACTCTTGTCCTTGTTGTTGTCCCAGTTGCTGTGCGAAATGCTCATATGGCATGAAAATTTAATTGGAGTAAAATGCTGCTGCACAACTCTCAAAAACTAGTTAGAGAGGGCGAAAACGAAAAAAGGAAAGCGCAGAAGAAAAAAAACAGCGAGAAATCGCTATGAAAACTAGCACATAAATCAGCGAGAGTTTCCTTTTTTTCCACGCCACCTTTCACCTCTTTTAGCTTTTTCCCGGTTTCGAGATTGAAATGTGCATACGGCATTAGCTTTAAATATGGAAGAAGCTTATATAAATAACATGAATCCTGTGTGTGCGGCCAAGTGGTAATACAAATGTTTATTAGTCATTTTAATGGAGTTGACTGAAGTGCCCTTTTTTAAGAGTATATTTGTTCTGCAATTAAATTGTTTTATGTTTCCGAAATATTATTTATAAATTTATAAATGAAAAACAGTTTATGTTGAATTTGATCTTGAAGTTGGAACACAAGCGATCCTAATCAAAAATTTGGAGTAGTAATGACTTTTAAGTAGTAATTTAAGAACGATCAATAAATATTTAAAACGTTTTACAAAACTATTTAAGGTAAATCATTTCTATAAAACGTTTGCAGGCAAATAAATAGGTTTTCAATAAATGTTTTTTATCCTAATTTAAGTTCCACTTTGAGTAATTGCTATAACTATTTATAAAATAGATTTTAAGCGACTGCAAAGTGATAAATTTCCATGAATCCTAACCAAATATAATCGATTGAAACACTTTCCTCAATTCCGAACATTTCCTTTTCCGAATTGGCACACTTTCGTTTCTCCACCCACAGAGGCACACACAAACACTGCAAATAACGCCTAAAAGCGGGCAACAAACAACAAATTTATGATGACCAGCAAAGGGAGTTTGGCATGCATAAAATATAACGATATCCCAGCTGAAGCCAAAATAAACACTTAATTTATGCCAGAGAGCTCAGAACTGGTCCACGAGTGTGGGTGCAGCAGTCGCCTACGGGGTGCACTGCTGATAAATCAAAGCCCGCAAAAAGTCTTTGACACTGCTCTCGGCCATGGTCGAGTGGCTGCTGGAAAACTACCTCCCTGGCCACGCCCTCTTTTCGGTGACTTGTATGTCTGCCTGTGCACTCAGAAAATATCGAACGGAATTGCACCTCTTTGGGATGATTGTACAAAGCAATTAAATTACAGACCAATATAAAAATTCGTAGTTTTACCTACTGAAAGACTTTAACATTCAATTTGAATCTCTTTTTCTTTTTCACAGCTTACTAATAAATACTGTAGTCCTCCCCCAAGTTTTATTTTTTAGAAAAACATTGTTTCATGAAATCACTGAAAGAAAATAATAATTGAAACATTTCACCTACATCCAATTTAATTACGGTGTAGTTCTCTGGAGAGTCGAAAACAAAAAACACGTTACGTGCACACATTTTCTGCTGACATCAGCTGTTTTGGCTAGAGCTTACGGCTTAGATTTTAGCTCTGACCTCGTTCTCGCACGGCCCACAAGCCAAAGTAACAAACAAGTATAAAAACACAAAAAAGTAAGAAAAAACCGAACGAAAGGCAGCAGAAAAACCCAGAAGACAACACAAGAATATGTTGTCCGATGGGCAAATATTTGTCGTAATGCGTAGAGCAAACAAAGTGCCTGAGATGATGGAAATATATTTGGAGAAAGTCTCCGAGCGGCAAGCCATAATGCATAACTCATACGCCACGTGGGCGGGACACTCAACTTGATGTGAGTTGATGTTTCCCTCCTTTTTCTCGTACTCTTACGCTGACAAAGTTAAAAAGGGCAAATGTAGATAACGTATAATGTTTCGTCATCAAGAATCTTTAAAGGGAAATTAGCTCGAGACGAGTTGAAAGTTCATTGATAAGCAAAAAGTTTTGGGACTCCCCTCGAAACACAACATACAAATAAATTAGAAGAATTTTCTTGATGTCATTTCCACGGAATAAATGGGCGGCGAGAAAATTCTATGTACAGATAATTTTCAGAAGCTTTTACGTTATTGTTTAACTTCTTAACCTCAACGTTTTTCCAAATTAAATTTAATTTTAGTAAATTACATATATTTTTGCCTTTAAAAATTAAATTTGCATTACTGTTAGTTTTTTTCGAGTACACAAAATGTTTAAATCTTGTTTAAACAAATTTAGTATTATTACTAACGTTCTAGCTTTAAGTGATTTCGCCTTTGCCAGAAACTTTTTTATGTGTGCTATCCACTCAATTCCATTAAGTATTTGACTGCCACAGACTCAAAAACAAAGCAGGAAAGCCACATTTTCATTACTCAAGCACTCGAGCCCGGAAATCTGTGTCCTGACTTGTCCCAAAGTTCGTTTTGCAGGCCTACCTGTAATGCAGTCACAGGCCACAAATAATAGACAAAAGCCAAAAACTATGTCAGCCGGGGCGCACGAAAATAACCAATACAAAAATAATCCAACAGTTGATACTCGGTTCGTTGTCCTACAAAAAAAAATACAAAAATCCAGCGACAAGAGGCTGCCTGCAGACTTGTCTTTGTAGCCGGCTTAAGGATTGCTCTCCCTCTATATATACCAGCCTTTATATAGGGTACATAATGTATCCATGTGTGTCTAACCGAAGAGATAAGCTTGCGGAGCACACACACTAAGGGGGGAGGCTTATTCAGTTGGATTACCTCCTTTCTACGCCGAATTTTCCCCATCCTTTCAAATGTATCACGTAAGGAATTTTTATATTTTTTTTTTAAGAGAGGTTTGGCTTACTTTAATTTTGTTTTGCTGATGAGCTGCTAATAACTTCAAACTGCCTCCGCGAAAATGCTTCGTTTGTTTTTATTATTATAATTGTTTTTTTTTTTTTTTTTTTGTAGATCCTTATGTTTTTGTGGGTGACATGAGGCGTCGGCGACCTTGACTGTCAGCTGCACACATTTCACTGCTCAGGCCTCAGAAAAGAGGCTGCTCTTTAAATCTTCACTGTTTTATCAGCATTTTCCTTTTTGTTTAAATGTGGCTTTATACTGCTTGGCAATCAATAAAACAACACTCCGCACACGTTGCGTATACGTAACGACTATCTGCTGCTGATTTGGCACAATTTTTCCTTTGGGGAAAAAAACAGACACAAGAACACACAAAGCACACACAGAGCACTCGAAGCTCTTTGATTTGAGCAGCTGAATTTATTTTTATTTTTTATTTCGCTGCATATTTATGGAATTTTTAAATTTATCCGCTAAAAGATAACGCGCTAAGGCGATTTTAATGCGATTTTATGGTCTGCGCGCTGGGGACTCTGCACGTAACGCGTCCTTGTTCCAACTACTGACGTTCGAACGTAATGATTTGGCCACAAACTCGGAATCCTGGACGCCCCCGAAAGGCAGGCCAAAAAAAGAAGCTTTTCCGCTTTCCTCTCATTTCCATTCAGCGCATTTTCTGCGCCTGCTCAGCTTGGCCATTCTCTTTGGCCTCTCTTTCTCTCCATGTGTTTCGTTCGCTCGCTTTGGCCTCTCCACGTTTTTGTTTTGTTTTCGTCATTCGTCGTTAGGCAAGGTTAACAAAAACAAAGCTCTACCCCCCGTCTCTGTGAGCGTTTGCCAGCGGTGCGTCTGTGTGTGTGTCTGGGCGCCAACATTCCAAAACATCTGATTGCTGTCAAAAATGTTGCATGCGTCAGGGATTCTTCGGTTGGACATGCGCATTTTCCGAGGCTATTGTGTTCTCGATTTCAACTTGACTCCGGTTAATGTGGGTTAATTTCGGCAGGGGATTGCGATGGTCAGGTAAGCTATGAATTTCGGGAGGCCCTGAACCACTCGAGGCAAATCAAATAGTACTCAAAAAAATAAACACAAAAGAAAATGTTTATGGTTCAATGCACATTCACAATAGGTTGCCCACATTATGTGTCTTTTATTAAAAGCATCCATATATGAGAATGGGATCTTGATAATCAACAAATTCAAACTAATGTCCACAACAGTTTGAAACAGTTTAGGCATGACTGTTTATATGGTTATGGGAGATGATAAATATCCAATTTTACTTTCCTTTTTATATTATATGCTTTAGTATAAATTCAATATGTTTTTAACAATAAGAGTGACAGCCTTAAACTTAATTTTTTTTTTTTTTAAGTTTCTTAAAGCAAATATTTTTATAAAGATTTTATAAATCAATTTATTTTACTTTTACAAAAATATTAACACAATTCGATAACATTTTCCGGAATGTTTAAAGTCGATATGCATATGCAGGTAAAAGATTATAAATTCTGCAAATGCTAAAAAAATGTTTAAAGATCGCTTATATTTTTTATATAATAGAATAATTAAAAGGCAATTTCGGAGTGCGCTATTAATATAGAATATTTCGCTTTAAATTGTTTGAAATACATTTGTGTAGCACTTGTGTGTTTAAGAATTTTTGATTTAATTAATCATATCCACATGAAATGATCTGGTTGCGGTAACTTATAACTGAAAGGTGCAAAAAACGAAATCCACTTAAAACACCACAGCAGTAAATCACAGCTCAGTGCCAGCCTAAGCTAACATTAAAGTGCCACCCACTCCACCGCCAGGTGGCATCCACCTTATGCTACGGACCGACCCAAAACTAACCGCAAACACCAATTACGCGTTTTGCTCCTCTGCCGAAAAACAAAAAATATGCCACGAAAACGGTTGGATGGCGAAATTACGGCGGGCACCGCAAAATAAAATGAGACAAGCCCGGGACGCGGCCCGGAGTTGCACCTGATCCAGATCCAGCAGCTAGCCCCAACTGCAGCTAGTTAGTTAGTTTGGGGCAACCTGCATGCATGCATACATATTTCAGAAAAGTTGCGACATTTTCGCCAGGGTTACTTTTTATTTTTTCAGCCGGCGCGTGAAAATCCGAGAGGTGACACTTGTCCAAATTATCTTGCTGGATAAACAAGCGCACTTAACGTGTTATCAGAGGCAAACGATGCCGGGATCCAGGATCCAGCAGGATGAGGCAGCCCCTGCCACTGCCACACACACACACACTCGCACTTGCAGAGGGCGAGAACATAACCAGCATTGTAATCAAAAGCAGGCGAATGCTGGAGGAGCGAACAAAACTGACATGCAGTTGACTCCAAAAGAGTCGTAGCCTCGCAGGACACGAGGTGGAGGCCGCCTGCCCACCATCTTGTCCCCCATCCTGCCCTCCTGCCATCCAATGGACGGTCGAGAGTCAGAGTGTGACCGAGGTCGACAGGAAAGTATCGCTGCACGGCGAGAAAATATTACTCAACTACAACCCATTAAAATGGCATGCTTCGAAAATTGAATCAACTCTGGTAGATTGAAATACAGCATGTCCTTCTTCACAAAGACCACAAATTAGAACACATTGATATTGATAGAAAATTTAGTATTGTCAAGAAAAAGAGAAGCAAATCTAGCCAAGAAAAGATTTTCGTATAAGATTTTAAAAATTATATTTCAAAATTAAATTAATAAGAAATATTTCTAGTATGCGAAATGAATATAAATTTTAAGTCTTCGCAAACATTTGTATTAACATTATTCCAGTAAATTCAATACTTTTACCTCTAGTCTGTTTAGAAGTAAAGAAAACAATAGAGAAGGAGTACAAGTAAAAATTTGTCTTTGAGGTTGTGTAAATTTAATTTTAGACTTAGTACTTCTGGACCCCTTAAGGTACTTAAAATTAACCTTTTCGTTTCTTTCAGTGCACATGAGTGTGAGTGCGAGACGTTGTTTGTGTGCGTCCACACAGGCGACAGCTGCTGCATAACCCGTTCAACCCGTACAACCCATAGAGCCATAGAGCCCGTACACGCCGCGCACACAGCGCCTCGCACTCTCGCACTCAAGGCGAGTTGAAAATGTTTAACACGAAAAGGAGTTATCACGCTGACAGCCTAGCCAAGCCCGGGGCCAGGCGTCAGAGGCTTCAGAGGATTCTGGGGATTCGCAGGAGTCGGCGGAGTCAGGAGTCCGGAGTCCGGAGTGCAGCGAAGTCGACGTGCCTCGCTGCAAAATTATGACAAAGTTCTGCGGGTGAAAAATGCGGCAGAAGGCGTGGAAAAAATGCTTTGAAATGAAAACCAGAACCATAGGGTTCGCCGCTTCTCTTTAAGACGCACGATATGCTAAGCAAATAATGATTGCGCTAGGATGTGGCGTTTTCTTTCTGCTAATGGAAATTGTCTAAAATAAGTCTTACGTACCACAAACTTAATCTTAAGAAGGAAAATTCTATAAGTTGGAATTAATTTTAAAAATGTTTCTAAATCATAAAATTGTAAACTATCATTTAGTTGAGATGTAAATCTTAAGTTTTTTATATGAGTTTTGGTAAGACAATAAATTATCAGACATAATTAAACATTAATTTAACAATATAAACTAATTTCTTGTTACAGTAAACAATTACATACCGATGTATAGAACAAGCTTTTGGTTTTATAAACTTTTTTCTATTATTTACAGAACACCTCGCAATAATAATATATTATGCTTATGGAAAGGAAACAGGAAAAATATCATTAGCAAAGATTTATCACCATTTCAGCATGTTTCCCTTTTAAAAATTTAAAGCGCTTTGGCTGGGTAAAATGCAAAAATAAAATGAGAGGTCCAAAACCACAGGCAGTGCGACAGCTCGCAGACAGAAGTGGGCAGCTAGTAAAATTGGCATGGAGAAGTCGTTGAAAATCCTAGACAAAACACCACGCCTACATCGGGGGGCCGTCAGCTGCTGTCACTCAGTAACCTCTTTCTTGCTTTTTCCCCATCCCGATCTCGCCTGCTAGTGCGATGAATGCGCGGTCGAAGAGTTGAAGTAGCCGCAGTTGTTGCTCCCCGGAAAAATTAAGTTCGCGGAATCCACCATTTTTTGTCGCTTTTCCGCCGTCGATTATAAGTCCGGAATAAATCTGTCGGTTAGCCGTTGCGGTGGCTTTTAACCACCTCAGAAGTGACTTTAAAATGTGGCCACAACCGCATTTAGCAGGGCGACCCCACAGATTATGGCTAAGACCGCGTGACTAATTACACATGACCCGCCACGGTTCAGCTTTCCTGTCCCCTTACACTGTCGAAAATATATGACAATAACTAATTATCATTAATAAAAAAAATGTTAACAAAACATTAACGTTGAAATACCAATAGCAAATAGTTTACTTATACCTATATTGGCGAAAAATATATAGACATCACCGTAAAGACTTTCTTATAGAAATCGAAAAATTTATAAAATTTGCTTAAATATTTGCAAATGTTTGGTACCTTTACAAAGTATAAATTTATAATTTCTTTTGAATATATTGTATAATAAATTAATTGTATATATTTAATTTTACAAAATAAAACCTTTTTTTTGGGAAAACTTAAAATCGTTTAATCTCTTCATCTTGAGAAAAACTACGGTGTCAAGAACGTATTTTATTATTTGTGGTGCACACTTGTTGTTTTAGGCACGGCTAAAAACAAAAACATGGTCACAAAAGGCAACTTAACCCGTTAACGCGTTAAAGAGCAAGCCGAGTGGCTAAAAGCTATGCCAAGCAGTAGGGACTACGACTACGACGATGATGATGATGGCGATGAAGATGGTGATTATGATGATGATGATGATGATGATGCTGATAATGATGATGATGATGACTATGGCGACTGGTTAACTCTGCCTGACTGGCTGCCTTGGTTTACTGGTTGGTTGCCTCAGTTTTTTCAGCCTTGCTCCAAGTTTGGCAAAAGGGGTAGTGGAATGGCAAGTCAAAGACTTTTTGAGTGGACTGCAGCACTCTGCAGAGGTTAAACACTAACCTGATGATGCCAGGCACAGCCGCACAACAGCAAGAAATGTGGAAAGGATATTTTCAAGGATATTTTCAATACTTTCAGGCGAAACAAGGACACTCTTTTCGGGCAATGACCGAAAAAATATTGCGATGTTTTCTAGATATGTTAAATATTAAATATTGCATACGAAATTCTTCTAAAATTAAATTAAATTCTTAAACAACTCTTTTAAATTATTCACTTTATAAAATTCAGTCTTTTCACAGTCAAAACTCATAAAACGAGTACACCAATAATAAGCATCTGAATATTCCATAAAAAAGTTTTCAGGTTTCTGCTCAAACTTCATATGATAGTTGAAACACCTTCGACTTTTCGTCCCAGTCCCACAAAACCATCAAAGTGGGGTTCTGTTTATGCAAATATGTTTGGGTCTGAGGTTTTACTTTGGCTCGTTCGTGTTGTTGTCCCTGCACATTTGCAACTGTGTTGAGCGTTATGTGAAAAGCAAAAGGAGGCACA